TTTCTCTCACGGTACGCAACAGAATTTGATAATATATATACCACTAGATAGAGGAAGTCTTCCTGTACAAACCTACATATATCCCGTTCTGGGGTCAAAAATTACCATGAAAGTCATAGTCGCCTTTAATATATTCACCATTGTTTCTCAGTTGGTTATCAATGTTATTGCTGTTATCATTATTTGATGAGGTTTGCTGTTGCTGTTGTTCATACGAGTTAATGTTTGATCTACTCATTGATTGTAAAAGATTTTTGGCATTTTGTAATTGAATAATACACGACTGTTGTGTTTGAGGAATGTGAGTGGAGTTTTCACTAATGATGAAACGAGTCGAACTAAAATAGTAAGATCTAATATGTCAGTAATCAGTAGATAATGTGTACATTGATTTAAAAGGTTTTTTTATCCATCGTAGAAGTTGACATATATTTTACACCGAAATTTCTCTTCACTAAATTTAGAGATCTAAACATAGGTTTTTATAGAATTCAATTCGACTCAGCATTTATCAATACTGTAACTAGATTTCCGTGCTTAGCGTATGAAAAGGAATTGTGAAAAATTGTTTCAGTTTTCTGCTATTTTTATCATATAAATGTAAACTTCTGTAATTCATCCATTGTTCTGGGATTGATTGATAATAATCTCACTAAAAACGAATCAAACGCGTTATCGTACTACAGAACTCAAATCTTCATATTGTGATGAAATAATGTCAAGATTTGTGAATACTAGAACGGGAATAATGAACACCTTTGTTAGCAAAAGTATTCATCCATTCATTGATTCATTAACCGACACATCTAAACAATTTTGAGTTTTTTAAGTACTTAAATAAACTGCTTGTTTCGACATACTGAACGCAGTTTTACCTCATCATCCAAAAGACATCAGGGTAGGCTGAGTTCTACTTACCTTTGTTCATCATTGTTTAGTTCGGATTTTTTTTCAGGTGTTGACGTATATATTCGATCTGCTATTAAATCTGGCGAATGTCTCAGATTCGTCTTTGGATGTCTCGTTGGCACAAACTTGACGCCGCCGTTAGTATCCTGTAAATTAAATCCTTCGAATAATAGGCGACGTTGTGCACGATTTTGCTGTTGTTGAAAATTAGTGCTATCTGACATTCTAGAGGTAATAAAATTAAAATAATTTGGTTTGGTCGCATTAAACACGTTAATCTCTACCACTAAGTCTTCTTTTAGTCTTTTGTCAGCCGATATAGGAAGTTACTAGGATATATCCTCTACTCTTGAACTCTAAAAGAAAAATTCACATGAGCAGCCTGTCAATGGCAATAGTGTAGCGTGGCGATAATCTGAATCCTAAATTGAGGCTTTGAATTATGTGGCTTTTCTTCCCGACGTATTTGTGTAATGTAAACTATAACTTTTATTGGTAAAGTACTCTACCAGCTATGAATTTTCCCGTTCTGCTTTTCATAACGATAGTTATCGACATCTATATACAAGAATATATCACGTTCACTTGTTAGGGAAAATGAAAAAGTAAGTTATCAAAACTTGCTTTGTTGAAAAAGATCCTGTGTAAAATAAAAATAAAAAGCTAAATTGTCCGATCCGATTGGTAAAGATGGCGGCTAATCAGGCCAGGCAATTTACCTTATTTTTTTGTTTTCTTGTGCTACTCAATACAAGACCAGTCCATTTTTACAATTCGGGCATGCTTGTTTCACAGTATCCACCTCTTGCATTATACAGGCATGCAAGAATCGAGTCAGAGACGTGATTAACGTCTACGTATACATGCACGCTCCAGGCATGCTGCTTGATAGCCGCAGACATGAATTTTGTCTGTACTTCAAGTCACATGCATTGTTTGAGCAGGCAGAATGTATTCTGTTCTCTCATTTTTCTATTCATCATTTTGTTTTATAGCGTAGTAGTTATATAAACATTACAGTTTACTCAGTGGCGACGGAGCCACTGAGACCCGTGAGGCTCGAGCCTCACTTAGATTCGCTCAACTGAGGCTCAGCCTCATCTAGATAACTGCTACTAGCGTGTTCGTTCTCTCAAAGTTCTTGGAGAGAACGAACATATGCACTTCTCTTATAAATATTGGTCGTGGTGGCTGTCTCATGCTCGGTTTATAATGATGTAAAGTCGTTTGAATAGCGCGTTTTTGCAGAGATGAGAGAAGGTACGAAGTTTGTCGCGAGATCTTTTTAGTTATGAAAAAGTTATACCTATAGATGACTGAGTATATCCTTTAGTTGTTTATTCCCTTTACTCCTTGTACTACTTTTAGTTATAAAGTGAGAGTGAGGGTAATAGTTCTGATATGCATGAAACAGAAAAGTAAAGGGAGCAAAAGGAGTAAAGGGAATAAAAGACTAAAAAAAGTAAAAGACTAAAGGGTGTAAGAGACTAAAGATAGTAAAACATTTAATGGGCTAAAAGTGTGACAGATATAAAAGTACGCAACTATAATAAGACTAATGAGCTAAAATGAGAGCTGTAGCCTTGTATGTAAGCTAAAAACATCTCGGGACAAACTTCGTACCATCTCCCAGCCCTCCGTTTTTGACAAACATACAAGGAAAAGATGGACGCTATTGATTTGAACAGCATCTGTTCTATATTCACGTCGAAGAATGAATAGAGTTAACTGAGTTTTGGTACTTTTAATTATTTGTGTCCTACTGATTTATTCTGTTGATCCTGAAGTTAAACAAGAAGATTTATATTCGGCCTGACCCTTCGATAAAAGCTTTCAATGCAATCCCTACGGTTTCAAAATGTGAAACACGATGGAGTCGCTTTAATCGTACAGGAAAACTCTCTCTCTATTGATTACAATCCATGATAAAAACAAAGGAGCAGCGTGTTGATATGTCTATCACGGTCTCTGACAGGAGTCACACGACCACACTGAAAGGCGGAAAACAAATGTTTGGGACCTCTGGATTTCAAATCCATTTATAATCGAAAATACCGAGGTCTAAGCATCTAGTATAGCATGCCGACATGTTGCTCATGGTTTGTGCTCCAGGCCAGGGGATGCTTTACTTTTCTCGCTATATGCTTCAACATTAGCAATCGTGTTTCACAAAAGTACGCTGAAGAGGAGAAAAAATACTATGAGCCTCACCTAGCTTCATGACGCTTCGCTGCCTTTGAGTTTACTTAAGATATTTTCAAAGTTTTCGACTTGATGCTTTTCCCTTTCGTGTGGGAAGTGCCGAGACAGAGCCATATATGTCTTTGTCAGTGTGGTACTGAAATAATTAACACTAAATAAAAAATAAAAACTGAAAGTAAAATTCACTTAACTGCTTTTCATTTCTGAATATCCCTGTTGATCTAATTTTTATTCTGCAGACATCTAGTTAAGGAAAGATATCTCTCCCATTATTTTTTCTGTGGCTGTGTATTATCAGATGACAACGATCTCTACAGCATATTCTATATGTATCACTTATTATAGACTGAATGTTTACATCTAAGAATACACGAACGGAAGGCTTTTTCGCCAATGACTGTTAGATAAAACAAATAATCTGCGTGATTCACAGTATCCACCTCGGGCATGCAAGATTAATGCATGTCTCTTGATTCACATACATCTGTACATACATTCGGCTTGCAAGTTGCATGTCTGAAAATGTATGAGACGTGTCTGTGTTTGTGCATGTACAGGCAACGTACGTATCAAGAAATTGGTCTTGGGTACTGTTTCCTTTTAGCTCCAAATAGTAGCTCCTAGGATCTAACTGGAAATATGCACAAGGTAACGGTCGTCTACATTCGCTCCGTCTCTTCACTTAGGAACTTATATCTGTCAATGAACTTATATGACTTTGAATATAAGACAACGCTCACGTTCCTTTGGGCGGTGTGTGCTACGGGACTGTCTAAAATATGTTATGAATTTTTCTTTAATTTGATGTGTACGCTTGTTATCTAATGTAAATCTAAAATTTCTTTTTCTCCAGACCGTCCAAAGATCGTCAGCGGTCTAGAAATATTTCTAAATTCAAGACAATGCTCACGTCTCCTTCGCACCCAGGATGGGTGAGACTGTCTTTCTGTAGGAAAGTCGATTTTTTGATGATATAGAATTATAAAGCAAAACCCGCTCTACAAAATCGTTTATTTAAACATTTTATATCATCATCTTTCGCTCAAAAAAATATGACTGTTTATTGAAAAAGGACGGTTAACCGCAGTTAACTGATCAATAAAACGGTCGTGCTTTTTTGAGCGAAAGATGATGATATAAAGTGTTTAAATAAACGATTTTGTAGAGCGGATTTTGCTCTATAATTCTGCTTACGTAGGAACCGATTTAACTGTCAAATCGTTTTTTCTTTGATACCTAGTGAATTATAGGTTATCGACTCTGCTGATTCTGAATATGATCATGGCAGTTGCCTACAGGTCTCTAGAGATCCTGTTTTTGGAAAACCAGTTTTTCAGAAACTCTAAAGAATAACAAAAATCTTTCTTAATAAGGGATAATTATACCCCGCACATTTCTGATTAAAATGAGACATCTCCCAACTCTACACGATCTTTTTTTGCAAAGTTATAGAATTTTCAAGAAAATCCCTAAATTAATTTCTTATTTCTGTAGCTTTGAGCTGACAATGAACATTCATATTCAACATGGTCATATTCAGAATCAGCATAGTCGATAACCTATAATTCACTATGTCTCATTGAAAAAACGATTTGACACTTAAATCGGTTTCCTTCCCATGAAATATTTTTAATACCCTAACGCAGGTTAGCACGCGTTAAAACAAGTAATAATTTAACGCATGCGCACAGGTTAAATGGTCTGGAATGCGTGCAAACGTGTTATCTTCTGAACTTGTATGAGACCAGAAATGTCTCGA